TTTTGAAAAAAATTTTACGTGGACGTCCGGATGTCACCCCATTTTGGATGTACCAACGATTACTCCCGAACAAATTGATATTTCAAGACCGGACCTTTTTTTATTAGTTCAAGTAATGCGATGAACTGGGTCCGTATTTCATATCAGTAGCCTAGTTTACGTTAGTTTTTTTTTTTTAATGAATTTTTATTAAAATTCACTACGATACAACCGTGCAAAGACAAACGAATTTTTCTTATTTGTCACGTGAAAACTATGGTGCCACTTGATCAAGCTAGATTTTTTTAAACTGCGTGCGCATATGACAAGAAAAAAAAGCGTTGATATTTAAAAAAAAAAAATACTCTGTAAGAAATTACTTAATTATAATTTTTTTTTTTTTTAATCAATTACACAATTTATTTTTTCTTAAAAAATGAATAAGCGTTATGAGGTGTGCACTTTTGGAGAAAGTTTTCCAAATTTTTTTTAAATTCATGTAAATTTTTTCAAAATTTTTCCTTTAAATTTTCAAGTGCGGAAAAAACAAGATGACACTGGATATCATCCCAGATTATACTCAGTGATATCTGTGGTGAAAAAAAATTTCAGATAGTATTTAAAACAATATTTGACTATCCTAATGTCTAAAATACATAATAGATATGGTAATGCTTGAGAAAAATTATATCATATAAATTTATTTCACACAAAAAATTAAAATTTTATTTTATAAATTTTTTAATAAATTTTTTTTTTTAAATAAATAAAATAATTTATATAAAATTTAACAAAAAATTTCTAAATATTTTTAATTATTTCTTCTTTATATTCATCTAGATCTACTTTCGAGATAGTAACATATATAATTTGGATTATACTCAGTAGAGTCTTAGATTATACCCAATGATATCTCCGGCATTTTTTTTTCTAGCGCCTACGCACTTAGCATTATCATATCTATTATATATTTTACATGTTTTAAATACAATCTAAATTTTTTTTTTACCACAGATATCACTGAGTATAATCTGGAATGATATCCAGTGTCACCTTATTTTTTCTCTGTGTCTGCTATTTTTAGTAATTTTAAATAAGCCGACATTTAATTAAATTATTTTCCAAAAAAATAAATTTTCAAGCTAAAAAGTTTTAGTTTGTTTAATTAAATTTTTTTTTTTAATTTGTAGAAAAAAAATCAAATGTCGGCTATTTTGCAGTACAATGATTTATAAAGAGTTTTCATGCTCGCAAAATAATGAACATTTGTTTTTATGTTCGGAGTATATAAATATAATAATAATAACTGCCTATTTATTGATTAAAATATGAGTGGCTCGTTACTTTATAAAAAAATAGTTACATATAAAAAGCGAGAGTACATTGCAAAAGTAGTGGGGGAGTTGACGAGCATGAATGATGTTGAAAAATCAAAATTTTCGAGTGTGTGTATGTTACTTTAATGCCATTGTAAAGAATAATAATTATTATTATAATTAATATTACTATATTATAAAAATTACACTAACATTAACAATTATAAATATAAATACAATTACATACATTACAATATATTTTATAATTTATATTTATCTGCGAATTAGGTAAAGTATTCTGAAGAAAAAAATAATTTTGTGTAGTTACGGTTGAATTGAAGAAATGTTTATTAATGTCTGTCGATAATTTTTCTAGCAAGCGATTAATTAAATAATTATTTTAAATATATTGTTAACAATATATTGGCTAACAATGGTTTAATGTTGAACTTGACAAATAATAATGTAAATAATGTAAAGAGAGATGAATAGCATAAACAAGTTAATTACAAATAAATTGTATATAATTTCACAATAACTCAGTAAAGTTAATTTTTATTTATTTAAGTTATAATTTTAAAATCAATGTTTAAATTTTTTCTATTTTTTCAGAAATTATTATCTTAGATAAATATTTAATTGACTTTACTGAGTACTCTTTTTCCTCGATGCTTTGAGCCTTTAAATGCCTTAATGCTTTGCTCATAATTGCATGCAATAATACTATTATTATTACTATTAATATTAATTATTTTTTTTGTAGTTTTTGCTACTATACTCTTATTTGAAATTTGTCTATTTTTGAATAAACGTTCTAATTACTGACCACGTTCCGATACATTTTTTTTATTTTATTTTCAGTAACTACTCTGATGGGTGATAATAAAAATAATAAACTACTAGCAATCTTGCAGTCACTATGTGACTGCCGTGACTTGTGAATTATAACTGAATAAAATTTTACTTTATTAAATAATGACTTTTGTTAAACTGCACTGTATTTTCTTAAATATTGATTTTTTTGAAAATATAAGCTCATCCCGATGTTACACTCATTATGAGCTTTCACTTGAGTACCCACATGCATTTTTATATATTTTTCATATATACATATATATAATATATATAAATATATGAAAAATTGATGTGGGTACTCAAATGAAAGGTCTCGATGAGTGTAATGTTGGGGTGAGCTTATATCTTTAAAAGTGTCAATACAGGATATTTGTTAAAATGTCCTGTACTTTCTTAACTATTGACGTTTTTGATAATATAAGCTCATCTTGGTGTTACACTCATCAAGAGCTATCATTTGACTACCCACATGCATTTTTGATATATTTATCATATATACATATATATAATATATATATAAATATATCAAATATATGAATAATTGATGTGGGTACTCAAATGAAAGGTCTCGATGAGTGTAACATCGGGATGAGCTTTTATCTTTAAAAATGTCAATAGTTCACAAGATATAAGGTCATTTCTTAATAATGTGTCCTAGGTATAGAGTATTTTCAAATACAGCCTAAATACTTATCAATTAAATAAATTAATAAATTTTTTGTAGCTTGTAAATTATTTTTATACGAAAAATCAAATTGTCAGGTGTTTATTATTTTTATTATCACAAAATTTAAACCTACTGTAATTTATTCTCTGTATTTTTAGATTGTAATTTTAATTATTGGAAATAAGATTTTTTTCTATTAACAATTAATAACTAAAATTGGTTTTGGTTAAAGCTGTACAATTTAAATAATTGTCAATATTATTTTTGATTAAAAAAAAATATTACTATTAATTTTTAAGTTGAAAAAGTAATTTTTCAGGTATCAATTATAAATATTATGTAATAAAAAGGAAATCTTAATTTAAATTAACAAACCAAATTGTACAGCCGTAGAATAGAAAAATTTTAATTGATAAATTGGGACTATTGGTCATTAACTGGAACAATAGTTATCTTTTTTTAATTTTGTCAACTTCTGTCTACTTTTGCCGTGTACACATTTGACGATTAATGTCTGGCAAATTTTCTAAAGATAGAAAAGGTAAAATAAAAAATAAAAGTAAAATAAAATTAGAATTAGTAAGTATTGATAAAAGGCTGTACATAGTGAAGTTTTGTTATTGTTAATATAATTGTTATTATTACTATTTTTTGGTAACTATTTTTATTATAGAAAGCAGAACAACGTCACAAACAACCTGTTAGACTTATCAGAGTTTGACACTCTGAGTAATAACAGTGCCGGAACAATATTTGATTTAACTTCAAATATTTCAAATGAAGACACACTTAATTCTAATTTGAACCCAACGGCAATGCCATTCACGCCGATGGTCGTCAATCCATTTATGCCTGTGTCTCCTAATAATGCCAATACCAATCCGTTCTCAGATGCTTTCACCAATAATAAGACCCAGGATAATCAATTACCAGGTAATTTTATTTTTTTTATTTATTTTACATAATTAAGAAATGATCTTGTATCTTATGAACTATTAACATTTTTAAAGATATAAGCTCATCCCGATGTTACACTCATCGAGACCTTTCATTTGAGTACCCACATCAATTTTTCATATATTTTATTAAATTATATATATGTATATATGAAAAATAAATCAAAATGCATGTGGGTACTCAAACGTTAGCTCTTGATGAGCTTATATCTTTAGAAACGTCAATAGTTAAAAAATTACAGTTCAATTTCAACATAATTAAGAAATGACCTTGTATCTCGTGAACTATTGACATTTTTAAAGATAAAAGTACTATTACAATAACACGATCATGCGATTAAAATATATATTTAATGGTAATGAAGATATGTAAAATAATATTTAACGTTAATTAAAACAAATATTATTATTATTAATTATTAATTATTGTATAAGTGGCAAAATAGTTTGAAAAAAAAAAAAAAAAACAACTCGTTATATTATTGTTTGCTTAATGACACACTAACTAGATAAATTTATTTGTTTGTTCCTATTTTTTTAATTTCGAAAAAATACGCCTATTTATATAATAATAAAAATAAAAATTATTAAAATATATATTTAGATATTAATAACTAAAAATCATCAGTAAATAAATCTGTATTTTAGTGTATAAAAATAAATGTTATTTCAGGTTTATTAATTGTCTAATTGTTTGTCATTATAATTATTCATTTTTGTCAAAGCTTATTTGAAATAATTGAAGAAAAAAAAAAAAATTGTTAGCCAAATAATTTCACACAACATTGCACAATTAATCGTGACTTTCATTGTATCAGATATAATAATAATAAATAAATAAAATAAATTTATCATCAAAGAAAAAATTGTTTAGATATTAAATGTGGAAGTAATGTCTAGCGACTTATATTGTGTCCATTTAAAGTTTAAATAAAAACTTATAGAGATGTTCTATAAAAGCTAAAAAAATAAAAAAAAATACTAATAATTATTTCTTCCGTACGTATTTAGGGCCTGCGCTCACTAGTCAAGTGATCTTAAACCTTTTTTCATGATAATTTACGGAAAATAATTATATAGTCATTTGACTCTGTCTGATGATTTCAATACTAATTATAATAACAAGTAATAATTATTAGGTACTAGATTTTTTTTTTTTTTTCCAATTAAGTTTAAATAAATTATTTGGAGTAATAGTGGCATGAATTTGCTCTTTAATTGCTAGTTTTTTTTTTTTTTTGCATGATCAGTTATTATTTTTCTTTGTCGTCCATACAATTTTTTTTTTTTTTTTTTTTTTTTTTAAGAATATAAATTGCATAGATAATGGCCTAATTATATTATATGACCTCACGCTAATTATTTAGAAGAATTTAATCAGCGGATATTTATCAATTGTAATTATTATTATTATTATTAATTTAATAAATAAAATGAAATAAAAATGATTAAAATGTAATTATTTGAATTTTATGTCGAAATTTTCAGCAAATTTGAATTGTAATAAAAATAATAATAATTATTATGATATGTTTTGTATTAGTTTATTTATTAATTGTACGGGAGAAACATTTATGTAAACTTTTTATAAAACAAAAACAAATATTAAGTATAATTGAAATCTAATGTTTATAATGTATTTCATCTATGTAATAATTACTAAATAATAGATAAAATAAATATTGATTTTGTAAATTAATTTCAAATAGAAATCCAAGTGATTTTATTAAACGAATATGATTAATATAATAAGGCTAGGTATATTTAGTTTTTTTTTTTTTCTAAATTTCATTGTAATTGACAATTATACTGATAAAATGCATATTGTTGGTTTTTTTTGTATTTTATAAATCATAAACTGTAATAATTTAACTAATAAAAATCGAGGTTCAATTACAATTCTATCTTGTTATTTTGGAATTTTTTTTAAGAGTATTTAATGGAAAAAAAAATTTATTAGCTGCGGCAGATTTTTAAGGTAAGTTACTTTTTTTAAATATTAATTTTTAATTAAATAATTTGCTTTTTTAAAACTATTTTACGTAAAAAAATGATAAAAAAATCAATTTCCCTTAAACGTTTAAAACTTTTCTCAAAAAACGCTCTGCAAAAAAAAGAGTATCATTTTTGAATTTGATCAATACTATATTTAGATTTAGAACTATTTATTTGATGATAATACACTTAGTTTTCCAAAAAATAGTGTGTAGTTATGAACACATGCAAAAAATTATACTTTGACATTATTTTAAGCAAAATTCTTTAATACGTTTAATTGAATTTTATTCTACTACCTTAATTAAGAAATCGATTTTAAATGATTTAAAATGGTTTGAGAAAATTCAATTCAGTATCATAAAAAATTTAGTTTAATTGAAAAATATAAAATACTTACTAAAGATTAATGATCAATAATCTGTAAACTATTGGAAGATTAAAATTTTACACACCCAAAACTTGATAACAGTCACAATTGTAAGAATTAGATATCTACAATTGCGTATTTAGGTATACAATAACAGTTCTCAACATTAAAAAGTTGAAAAAATAATTTGATGCATAATTTAGTAGTAATTTATTTTGGATAATTTTAAAAATAACTTATTTTTAGAGTAAAATTATAAAAACTTTAATAATTTTTTAACTTTACTAAAATTTTTGGTATATTCTAATTTCAATAAATTATTACCGAATTATAAAATAAAATAAACTTGTTAAATTTTATTTAACAAGGAGTCAAAATTTAATAATTGTCAACTTAAATTTAACAAAATATTACCAAAAAAATTTTTTTTGCCGCTTGAGATATAGGATCAAATATCTGCTACATTAATTTTCATAAATAAACTTACATTTAAGAACTGTCAAACAATTTTGCACTAACGTATTTTACAAAAAAATATGACATTAAAGTTAGAATTCACTTAACCATTTTTTAATTTTTTTAAACAAATCAATTCTTTCCAAAAAATTATTTTTAAAAAATTGCATTTTTCATTTCTTTTAATTTCTACATGTTAATTTTTTTTCTACTTTTTTTTGCCATAATTTATTTGCTTAAAAAAATTCTTAAAATTATCAAATATTTTCATTAAAAACATAAGTAAAAAATCGTCATCAGTCTGCTGATCTTAGTATCGTATCTAATAATTGTGTTTTTATGTATAGAAACATAAAAATAATATTTTTTACTCTTGACATAAATTTAATTTTTTGAAAAAAAATTTACATGTACTTGAAACAAAAAACAAATAAAGACAGTAAAATAAAAGTAAATGTATATGACGACTGAAAAAACATAACTGGTGCAAAAAAATAATAATTAAAAAAAAAAGACATAATTATTTTAGTATAATCTTTATGTTCAATTAATAAATTCAAATATACAGCGTGCCATGGGTGAAACAAGCAAATAGCAATAATATAACAAATATTTATCAATTACTGAAGATTCATAATAATATTTATTTATTTAAATCCATTGTACTTTTAATTACTCACTTCACTTAATTATTATCTTTTATTGTTATTATTTAATATTTTTCATAACCGAGTTTGTCAACGGACTTTATTTTACATGCAAACATTTATTTGTGTACTGATATAGATTTATTTCATTGAATTTTGCATACTTGGTATACAAATAACAATGCTTCCAAAAATCAATGTAAACATATATATATATATATTGGCAATACTCAAATGCCAATGCAACGATTTTATAATCAAATCTATTACTAAACAATTGTCCTCTTTCTCTCTCTCTCACTCTGTTTATTCTTTTTTTGTTGTTTATAAATTTTGAGTTATTACAACAGTGACATAAAAATACAATTTAGACATCAGATGTATAATTATTATTATTATTACAATAAATTATTGTATAGTTCGAAGACCAGTAGTTAATTATACAAATTCTATACGTTATAATATGATAAACAGTCTTCTTTCAATGTAACTTGTAATTAGTTACATTAAAATGTATGTGTAAATGTGCAAAGACAATGATTATAATTTTTTTTTTTTCGAGTCAATGTAACTTTATCACTCGTCTATATTTTGTTTTGTTTCTTTCAATTGATAAATATCTCAATTAAGGGAGATAGCCACTGTGAAATTTAAAGAAAAAAAAATTTTTTTTTATGATATCAAAATTTACATATTCAAAAATATGTATTTATTGCTTTATATGAAAATTCATGACATTAAAGTTAGCAGTCACTTAACTATTTTTTAATTTTTTTAGCAAATTTATTTTAAACGATTTTTGAGCCAAGAAATTTTTTTCTGGACAAAAAATTTTTTTTTCTCAGTGTATTTTTTTCGAATTGGTCTCATCTGTAATTTGCATAAATATGAACGGATTTGCAATTTTTTTCTGTATTTGTCTATTCAGTAGCTATAGTTGCACGTAGGGGGGGATTTTGAAAATTTTGATTCTTAAGATTTTTTAAGGCTGTTTAAATCTAAAAAAATGAGAAAAAAAACGAAAAATTTTTTACTATATCGCCATTTTTTTTAAATCCAAATTTTCAAAAAATTTTACAACGCAGTTCGGTTTTTTTTGTCTTAGATAATCCGTTTTTTTTGAGTTAGATATGCAACCGTGGTGGGGGAAATTTTTTTGGTGCTCCACAAAAATCCTTATAACTTTGTTACATGATATTTTTTAATAAAAATTTAGGAGAATAATCTTTATTATCTTAGTCAAAAAAATTCCCGAAAATCACTTATTTTTTCGATACTCACAGTGGCTATCCCCCTTAAATTTTTCCAATTTACGGACAAAATAATAAAATAGTCACGAAAAATATTACAATTTATAAAAAAAAAATTATTATAAATTTACAATGATAAATGTCGATAAAAAAATGAATATTCAGTATTTATTATAATTATTATTATAAATATATTTTTTTTTCAATGCATGATATTACGACTATGTGTATTTTTGTCATTATCACTAATCACTGGTTCATGCTCTGGATTATGCCTCAATCACAACAGTAAATAATTACAAATTAAATTTATTTCCATAATTATCAGTGTTTACTTTTTATATTTTTTCGTTTCTCTGTTATTACATTCCAATAAAAAAAAAAAAATTTTTTTTTTATCGAGTTATTTTAGCAATCACATTACTCGTATTGTTGTTCACGCACGCACGCACAAATAGATCTCGTAGTATATAAATACGTATTTATTCTTTCTATAAAACTTGTGTACACTCAATTTATTTATTTGATAATAATAATAATAGTAGTAATATTTATAATAATATTAATAATAACAAGTGTACATCAAATGTGTATAGTAGTCTAACATATAAATATATACACAAGAATATGTGCAGTTTATTATAACTGCACAGATTTGTTCTATAAGGCGCGAGAAAAAATATTTTTTTTTTTTTTATGTTCTTATTTTTACTTTTACTTTATTAATCGTTATTATTACTGATTATTGATAAATTTTTAAATGAAAAATATATATGTATATATATATTTTTGTAATTATTTTTTTTTTAATATTTTATTCTATTGTAATAAAGAAAACTAGTCGTTCAAAAATTCGATAATATCGCATTTCTGAAGGCACTTTGTTTTCCTAAATAATTATAAATGGTTTCCTACAAATATAACTATTATGTTATTAAAGCATATTATTATATAATAATAAATTTTTCTTTACAATTATGTTTAATAATTTTCTTTTTTTGAAATTATTATGTAGTTTTTTTACATACATAACAAATATATATGTAATTAAGAATTATATAATTGTTACTTAATTACATATATATTTGTTATGTATGTAAAAAAACTACATAATAATTTCAAAAAAAGAAAATTATTAAACATAATTGTAAAGAAAAATTTATTATTATATAATAATATGCTTTAATAACATAATAGTTATATTTGTAGGAAACCATTTATAATTATTTAGGAAAATTAAGCGTCTTCAGAAATGCGATATTATCGAATTTTTGAACTAGTTTTTTTTATGACTATAGAATAAAATATTAAAAAAAAAAAAATTACAAAAATATATATGTATACTTTTTTAACTAAAGTGAGAAAAAAATACTGTAATAAAATGTATAGATTGATGTACAAATACACAGTCATATATTAGTTTTTCATAAACTAGAATTTAAATTTGCGCGCTTGACTATAGAGTTTGCATATATTTTCATGCTTATGATATATTTGACCAATCACGGTACAAATGGTTTGCAACACATATTTTTCATCTTAATCTTAAGGAAGAATAATAATTAAACGACAGTGAGTTGAATGCTCATATTAATTGAGAAAGTCCGCAGTGTACTATGTTAAACAAAATAATTGTTATTGAAATATATTTTATGTGCCTGACAGATTATTTGACTTGATATAATTGCACTAATATTATTCTGTAAGTGCGATATAAGTAAGAAAAAAATTAATTTCAGTTACTAGAAAACTGCTTTTTTTGATATGTCGAGAGTAGAACACTACCTCAACGTTTCGCTTATGAGGCGTGCAAAAAAAGAAAAATTATAGATAAAATTTGATCAAGCGACCCAATCCGAATTTATCAGCCCCAACTTGGACAACACAGTCGAGGAGCTAAAGGAACACCATGATTTTCACGGACGGCTCATCGAAGAACCAAGAACCGAACTGGAGCTCAAACAGCAGCAATTGAAAGAACGAGACGACAGACTGAAACAATACAAACTGCAACTGAAAAAAAGACCTGGAATTGAGACGAAAAGACATGCTACTGAAACAGAAAGACTTGAAACTGCAACGATAAATATAGAGTGAAACGATATAGACGGACTTTGATTCAACAGCACCACCACAACAAGCACTATCACCACCAGCACAACAACAACTACTACCACCACCACCACACCAACGACGTCGCAATATAAACGTCGGTAGGTTTATAACGTTTGAGCAGGCTCTCAGATTCAGATTTGGAACAAGATTAAGCGGGGCTTAGGAGAAAATTCATCTTAGTACTTCATCGGATGTATAGCTAAGCCAATCAATCGGCACAATATCCTGGTGACGTTTGAGTTTCTACACCATACAAAAAACTCAGCAGGTTAAAGAGGCCAAATACAAGGAGTTGAAACGGGAATTCAACGCGATGAAACAGCAAAGACAAAGACAGGATGAGGATGAGCCTGTGCTGATGGATATGACATGCCAAGACGTCGAAGATCTATGTGGTGCGGTGGAAGAATCGGGCATGGCAATCTCGCGATTGATTAAAGAAAAAGAGGGTTTGGAGAAACGATTGAAAGATCTTCTTGTTAAATTACCTTATTAAATTCTTAGCGAAATTGCTGCGTTGAATAAGGAACTGGAAGAGGTTCGACAGATCCGAGACAGAGATCTGGCAGGACCGTCGAACTCTGGATCCTAAATCGACGCGACATTTCGTACATCATCGGTGTCAGGATCGCCAACAATACCAGTGCCGTCAGGATGTGAATCTTTAACATCAGTGTCGTCCAAATCGCGGACACCACCACCAGGACCGTCAGGGGCGTGAACTTCACCACGGACGACATCAAGACCAGGTCCACAATCACGGAGATGTATCCGCAGGTCATAGAAAGCCAAAAAAGTACGGGACTTGTTGATCCCATAAATCCGTGGTTGTGGACATCACGAAACAAGCACGCCTACAAGGTAGACGATGAGAAGAGCTTCCGAAAAATCGTACGGGAGAATGAAGTTGCCCGAGTTGATAACGGTCTGACATTTAACTGCTTAGACAAGAGCTGATTACGTAAAGAAATTAGGCGTGACCGGATTCAACTCCACGTCTGGATACTGCATAAGAACGGTAAATTAAAGTGCCCAGAATGTGAATTTTGGAGCTCAAACAGCAGCAGTTGGAAGAACAAGACGACAGACTGAGACAATACGAACTGCAACTGAGACGGAAAGACGCAAAACTAAAACAAAAAGATATCCAACTTACAGAGCAAGACCGGAAACTGGAACGATACAGACCGATGACAAGACGTTTGAGACGGATTTTAAACCAACAACCACTACCTCCACCACAGCAACAACAACAAACGCTACCATCACCACACCTACGACGTCTCAACATGAACGTCGGTAGGTACATGACGTTTGAACAGGTTCTCATGGTTCAAAACATCAATGAACATCCGTGGTTGTGGACGTCCGAGGGAAAGAGAGCGTATCGAGTCGACGATGAAGCTGCGTTTCGGAGAATCCGGTGGAACGAGAGAGTCGAAAAGGTTGGCCAAATGACGACTTTTGAATGCTTGGATCCACGCTGAATTGAGGTGCTAATATACACGTGGTACTTTATCCAAGCATTTGCAAGATAATTCAGATCACGACGTCGAATTCTGGCTGTAACCTCATGCGTTACTGCTGCTTCCTGGTCGTCTCCTCCTCTCATTTTGTCAACGCTGATAAACTTTGCGTTTATGGCACGCCTCATAAGCGAGAAAACCTGAAAGAACAGCTGAAGCAGGAAAAAACAAGAGAAGAGAACCTCCAACGGCAACTAGAAGACAGAAGTACGGCTACAAGAACAGGAAGCAATGACGAACCTCTTTAAAGAAGGAAACCAACCAAATTTTTTGGTTCAAGAAATTCGATGATGATAAAATATTCTATTATTATTAATTATTAATTTCTGAAGAGAAGAGCATCAATATTTATCTTTGGATAATTGTTGTATCAAGAAAATTTTCTTAATAAAAGTATTTTTTTTTCTCAGTGTATCATCTATAGTAACACACTGCGGACTTTCTCAATTAATATGACCGCTTAATTTACTGTCGTTTGATTATCATTTATAAAAATTAAGATACTACTGTGGATTTGTATATCTATATATACATTTTATTATAGTATTTTTTTCCTCACCATAGTAAAAAAAAAATATATATGTACATCTTTAATTTTGTAATTATTTTTTTATTTTTTTTTAAATATTTTATTCTATTGTAATGAAGAAAACTAGACGTTCAAAAATTCGACAATATCGCATTTATGAAGGCACTTTGTTTTCCTAAATAATTATAAATGGTTTCCTATAAATATAATTATTGTGTAATTAAAATATATTATTATTATTTATTTGAGTAATTTATTCAACTCTATTATCAAATTATTTAAATCTCAAAAAATGTTTATCAAAAACAAAATAAATCAATATTAAAAAAAAAAAAAAATTCATTGCAAAAAAAATTATAGATAAAATTTTACTCAAATAAATATTTAAATTTTAATTACATAATTGTTGCTTAATTACATATATATTTGTTATTATAATAAACTACATAATAATTTCAAAAAAAGAAAAATATTAATCATAATTATAAAGAAAAATAGACAATGATAGACATGATTAAGTAATGAGTAAAAAGTGTTACGCACACAGACTCTACATATGAATATTATATATTTAGAGCCTAATTAATTGAATAATATATAATAAATCTACCATAATTCGAAAAAAAAAAAAAAAAAATTGGTTAATTTATTAACCATTAGATTACTTAAAACCTGGATGACATACCTGCCAGGTGATCAATAAACTTGAATAGTAGAAAATCATTATATAGCAACATTTGAGATGATGAAAATTTCCCAAAGTCGTTGACAGATGATTGCACTCTATGAGTCATCATGAACATAAATCCAACTGCTGATTATAATTAAATCTTTAATGATTAATAATAAAAAATATCGAATAATTAGTAAGGCTGATGTCTCTGGAACTGTCTAGGACCCTGGGCGTTGCCTCGTGGCTTGTTGACAGCTGCGGTATAACTCGCGTGGTTGTCGAAGCTTTCGTACCCCGGGTAAGAGTCGTAATTGCTGTAATTTTCATCGTAACCTCCGTGGTACCCGTTGGTGTACTCGGGCATGTAATTGTAGCCACCTCCGTAGCCGTACCCGTAACCGAAGTTCCAGAATCCTTGGCGGTTAACCTCCGGGTTCACTTTAACTTTTTTAACGTCAACCTCCTTACCGTTTATCGTCTGCTTGGGCGCTTTCAGCAGCTTGTAGACGACGTCCTTGGAGTCGAAGGTGATGAAACAGAAGCCCTTGCGCTGGTTCTTTGTCTTGTCAAAGGGGGCCTGTAGCTCAACTACCGTCCCAAATTGACTGAAGTACGCTTTTATGTCGTCATCGGTCATATCTGGTGTCAGTCCTCCAACAAATACTTTTCCGTGCTGTGCTTTTTTGCTCACACGTTTCGGGTCCACCTGTTTAATTATTCACAAGAATTAATTTTAATAATTTAATAAGATAGACAGTCAATTTATTATGATAAGTATTTAGGCTGCATTCGAAAATTCTCTATCTCTAGATACGTAATTAAAAAATGACCTTGTATCTTGTGAACTCTTGACATTTTTAAAGATATAAGCTCATCCCGATGTTATACTCATCGAGACCTTTCATTTGAATATCCACATCATTTTTTCATATATTTATATATATTATATATATGTATATATGAAAAATATATGAAAATGCATGTGGGTACTCAAATGAAAGCTCTTGAAAAGTGTAATATCCGAATGAGCTTATATCTTTAAAAATGTCAATAATTAAGAAATGACCTTTGTCGGGGTGAGCTTATATCTTTAAAAATGTCACTAGTTCACGAGATACAAGGTCATTTCTTAATTATGTTAAATTGCGATGTACTTTTTTAACTATTGACACTTTTAAAGTTATAAGCTCATCCCGATGTTATACTTTTCAAGACCTTTCATTTGAGTACCCATATCAATTTTTCATATATTTATATATTTTATATATATGTATATAAGAAAAATATATGAAAATGCATATCGGTATTTAAATGAAAGCTCTTGATGAGTGTAACATTGGGATGAGCTTATATTTTTAAAAACGTCAATAGTTAAGAAAATACAGTGCAATTTAACAGATATCTTGTGGAATATTGATATTTTTAAAGATATAAGCTCACTCCGACATTACACTCATCAAGACCTTTCATTTGAGTACCCACATGCATTTTGATATATTTTTCATATATACATATATATAATATTTATAAATATATGAAAAATTGATGTGGCTACTCAAATGAAAGCTCTTGATGAGTGTAACATCGGGTTGAGCTTATATTTTTAAAATATATATGTATATATGAAAAATATATGAAAATGCATGTGGGTACTCAAATGAAAGCTCTTGATGAGTGTAACATCAGGATGAGCTTATATCTTCAAAAACGTCAATATTTAAGAAAATACTCCGCAACTTAACAAAAGTCATTATTTAATTAACCAAAATTTTAATTATTTATAGTTCACGTACTAACTGCAAGGTTGCTAATAATAATTTAAAAAAAAAAAAAAATAAAACAAAATAACTAACCTTACGTTTGTTGATGTAATGCTCACCAGAAGCCAGCAATTTATCAATAGTTTTAGGGTTAGTAAAAACCATAAAAGCAAAACCACGTGAAATGCCGGTATGTTGATCCATTTTAACAGTTATACTTTCTATTTCTCCAAATTTACCAAAATGCTCACGTAATTCTTTATCAGTAGTGTGCCGAGACAGACCACCAATGAATAATTTACGCTCATCGTCCATACCAGGTATACCAGCAGTGGCTTGTTGCTGATTTTTAGGATCCATTGACTGTCCACCATTATTACTACCGCTTCGTTGCATCGTTCCGGATCTCTGTTGCTGATTTTGATTGTCCTGTGTGTTATAATCGTTATCAGTGTGATTTCCCGAAGAATTTGAGTTCTCAACTTGATTTTGATAACAGTCAACAGCCGCCATAGCTTAACTTTCTTATGCCTTCTGATTTCGAGTTACTTTTTTTTACGTCCCTTTCTTTCGTTGCTGTCCGTGTTCGTACTCGGTAGTTTTTTTTTCTTTTTATTTTCGCTACAGACGCACCGTGTACCGACACACTCATACACACAACAAGAGACTAGTTTCAGCAGTTATTTATCTCTCTCTCTACTCTGTCTGAAAGTATCAAACACACGTCCGGCTACTTTATAATATACTCTATTTTTTTATTTTATTTTATTTTATTTAATTTCATTTTTATTTTTTTTTTTTTAATTATTATATTTATTTTAAACCCACATTTACAATAAAAAAATAATAAAATAAAATTCCACCATACTTTACATCAATTAAATGAAATAAAATAAAATAAATGTTTATTCATTTTTTTATAATCTATATTTATATTGATACAGATGATTAATTATATAAAAATGCTAAGCAATATGTAACATACCTTATTAAATATATTTTTTAACTCCAATGCGTTTTTTTTTCTCGTTAATTCTACCGGTGTCGAGAGAGTTGGTATTTCGCCTGCGCCAACCCCGATGCCGACCAAGATCTTTCACCAGTTAAACTGTAGCGTATTCTCTTTGTATAGTTGTAGCTTGTAGTTCGGCTTCTCTCCTTTTCTCCCACACACTTTTAACCAGACAAGCTCTAAATATATGTATATGTATATGTATATATATATATATATATATATAAAACTAAACCTGAGAAGTTAAAACAAAGACAGAGATAAAGATTAACATATATGCCATTAGATCCAACTCTCAGCTACCAATAATGACATGAAAATGAAGTTAGCCGGTATTTAAAAATTTTTAGTGAAAAAATTTTAATTTAAAAAAATTTTTACACATAAAAAACTTTAAAAACTAAAAGTGTAATTTTTTATAAATACTTTTTTAGTTGTAATTTAATTTTAATAAAAAAAATCAAAAATTTTTAGACGTCTGCTAACTTCAGTGTCATATAATGACAAGGACAAAATACACTACGAGCTACGAATAACAACCAACTCAAAACTCAAACTGACTACTTTATATTATAAAATTAAAATATAAATTAACTATATAAGTAAAGATGGACGACACTAACACTTATTTATTATATGTGTACACATATCACTTTTATATCACACTGTACTTTAATGGATGAAAATTAAGTTAGCTGACATTTAAAAATTTTTAGAATTATTTTTATTGAAAAAATTATTACAAAAAAATAAAAAAAAAAAATGTCCACTTGTAAAAAACTTCAAAAACTATAAGTGATATTTTTTAAAAATAGTTTTTCGTATTAATTTTATTATTAAAAAAAAATCAAATAATTAAAAAGGTCGGCTAACTTAATTTTCATTAAAAAAATAAATAAAAAATTTCATTTGTAAAAAAACTTTAAAAACTGTAAGTGCAATTTAAAAAAAATTAAAAAGCTAACTTTAGTATTATCTTTAATGGCGCTAATTTTTTTTCATTATTCTTCTCTTGAACATATGTAAGTCCTGATTGGCTCATAATTTGTGTTTTTTTTTTAATTCTTTGCTGACCTATCAGATTGCCTTCAAGTATTTAATGTGAAAAATAAAATTAATTTTTTTATTTATATTTATTATTTAATAATTTATTTATTATTAATTTTATTTTTTATTATTAAATTATTTATAATTATTTTTTAATTAACCGGTTAGTTGATGAGTCATTTTATTTTGGAGGCAAAAATATTTCAAGAAGAATTAAAAATTAGTTTAGATTTTTACCGCTAGAGCAAACTTTCTGTATTTTAAACTGAAGCGCCAAATTTGAACTCGGTGAATTGGAGAAGCTTGTAGGGGTTTATTTTTTTTCCCACTAGGTGGCGGTGGTGAATTATTTGGGAGGAACAAAACTGTTGGGAAAAAAAGACATTTCATCCGGTGTTTACATTCAAGAGCACGTAAGTCTTCTGTGATTTAAGTAATTTTTATGTAAATTGTTTTTTTATTAATGTCAATGAATAATTGGGATATTTGTAGTGAAATTTTAGATTTTAGTTGGGAAATAATTTTAATATGTCAATAAAATTAGGAGACGTTGTCGAGCTGTCAAATCTTGAAATTATTGGCTGAAGAGTCCACGGAAAAATCAATTAGCATTGTAACGGTCAATGACAATTTAATCATTAAAACTGTCGTGATTAATGTAATTTTTTAGTGGAAAAAAATTGTATGTCAGAATTGTCAAGATAATTTCGGTTGACATGACAGTTTATTAAAATTAGATGATAATGAAATTGACAGACACAATTTTTTTTGGTACTGAAATTGAGAGACATCTGATAATTTTTAGAAATTTTTTAATTTATAAATTATAGGAAGAAAAATTTATTTAGAAGCTCTAAAAAATATGAAAATTAAGTTAGCCGACATTTAAAAATTTATGAAAATTAATGTAGCACATATTCAATAATTTAAAAAATTTTATATGAAAATTAATTGAGCAGATATTTAATAATTTTTATGGCAAAAAAAATTGACATGTAGAAATTTAAAAAAATGCAATTTTTTTACAATAATTTTTTAGAATTAATTTAATTGTTGAATAAAATTAAAAATTTGTCAAGTGACAGCTAACTTTAATGTCACTAAAAATTTTTATAATTGTTTTATTGAAAAAATTATGAGTGAAAATAAAAAACAAAATTTTAGTTGTAAAAAAACATGAAAAATTTTAAGTGTAATTTTTGAAAAATATTTTTTTACTCCAATTTAATAAATGAGAAAAAATTTTTAAATTAAGAACGCCGGCTAACTTAAGTATTATCTAAAAAATTATAAATACAATTTTTTTTTTTAAATAATTTATTCAAGAATAATCAAAAAATTGTAAAGTGTCTGTCAATTTAAATGTCACAATTTTTTAGATTTTTCTAAAAAACTAATAAAAAAAAATTATGAAAAATAATTTAGCAGATATTTAATAATTTTCAAGATTTAATAACAAATAAATTATAGCAAAAAAATTGACGTGTAGAAATTTTAAGAAATTAAAAATGCAATTTTTTAAAAATAATTTTTTGGAACTAATTTTCTTAATAAATAAAATTAAAAAATTGTTAAGTGACTGCTAACTTTGTCATAAAAAAATTACACATTTATAAAGTAAAAAAAAAAAATATTATAAGTGCAATTTTGTTTTACTTAACAAAAAAAATCAAAAACTGTAAAATTTTTTAATTTTCTAATTTCAATATCATTAAAGTTAGATGACTGGAACAAGGAATAGACGTCGAGTACGTGGAGCATAAAGTAGATGAGAGTCGAGCAGACGCGATTCTTGAGTACTTAGAAAACGCGAGATATAAATTTGATATATATATATTTAATAAATATAATAATAATAAAAATAATAATAATGATAATTTTGCGCGTGCGCGTTTATTAACCTCGAGAGCTTTGAATTTTCAGCTCAGCTCAGTCGCTCTAAGATGGACGGTGGTGGAGCGTACGGTGGTGGAAAAGCTGGTGCACCCTTCGACCCAATTGCATTTGTACAAAGGCCTCAAGTTATCATAAAAGCAGTATGTTTGGTGAGTAATTAACATTAGTAATTATCCCTGACATTAAGAGTAGATCTAGGTACGTTTAATTTAAGCAGCCAGTCTATTTATTTGACAGTGTTTTTAAAAGTTTGAGGATGACATTGATTCAATGAAGAGAGAAGATATTTCTGGTCCCCACCCTCTTTCATCTGCCCTCCGCCCTGACGATGGGGTTGTTCTATTGATTTTTACCGTGTTAACGTTTTCATTTTCCCATCTTTATTTATTTATCTGTTAAAATTATTTTAGATTATTTATTTTAGGTGAATAAATAATAAATTTATATTATCATCACCTGGTCATTAATTTTTTTATCAATTCTCATGACCTCACGTTTCAGTCGATTGTCAAATCGATATCAATGCTCTGGAGTGGGAGACTAAGAATGCAGAATTCAGAGCTGCTTTTTTTTAATCCTTTGTGTCTTTCTTTATCTGTCAATAAAATTTACCACATTTAAATATAAAAATAATTATAAGCTTAAAGTTAGCCGACTTTTTTAATTTTTAGATATTTTTTTTTATTCACTAAATAATTAAAAAATATTTTTAAAAAATTGCACGTACAGTTTTTCAAGTTTTTTACAAATGAAATTTTTTTTTTTATTATTTTGTAATAAGTTTGTCAATAAAAAAAATTCTAAACATTTTTAGATGACGGCTAACTTAATTTTCAAAAAATAATTATGAAAACTAAGTTAGCCGACATTTAAAAATTTTTAGAATTTTTTTTTTATTAAAAAAAAAAAATTTCACTGGTAAAAAACTTGTAAAACTGTAAGTGCAATTTTTTAAAAATATTTTTTTGTTTCAATTTAATTATTAAAAAAAAAAAAAACTAACGATGTCGGCTAACTTTAGTATTATAAATAATTATAAAAAAAGATAAATATTTTTTCAATAATGTGAATTTTTTTTTTTATTTCACAGCTTTTCTCGATAATTGTCTTCGGGTGTATCAGCAGCAAAGGATACAGAGAAGATATCAGTGGAAAAGAATACTGCCTTTATAATAAAGACACAAATGCTTGCCAGTATGGTGTTGGCATTGGTGTTATTGCATTTTTAGCATCTATTGGTTTCCTTGCTGGCGAGTATTTGTTCGAGCAAATGTCTTCTGTTAAAACTAGAAAGCATTATGTACTTGGAGATCTTGGGTGAGTTATTAATACACACGGATATTATTTTATAAATTACTACATCCGTTTTAGAAAATTTTTTTTTATATAGGTATAGAGTTTTATTATGGTAAAAGCTACGATATTGATTAGTAAATATTTGTATTAGGGGAATACAGTATTGGTGGGATTTTTATAGTAGTATCCGTTGTCCTACTATTATCATTTGTCAGATTCTAAAGATTAGTTACGTAATGCTTTGATAGTACAATGAACGAAAGATAATAAATTGTGTTAGATATTTATAAAATTTTTTTTATAATTACTGTGCATTAATATCAATCAAAATAATTTTTTATTTACATGAAAATAATAATTTTAATTCATCATAAATTTTTAATGCAATTTATTTATTATTTTTTATTAACATTTGCAATTTACAATAATTTAATAATAATCTATATTATTAAGAGAATAAGCGAAATTTTGTGGCCAGGATGGTCATAATAAAATCGGTTTTTTTAGTGAAATTTAATGTCATTGCAAAGGTCTTGATTTGAATTTGTGCCTTTTCAAGGTTTTATATCATTCTCACCGATAATCAATTTATGATGATAAGTATTTAGGCTGCATTCGAAAATATTCTATCTCTAAATACATAATTAAGAAATGACTTTGTATCTTGTGAAATATTGACATTTTTAAAGATATAAGCTCATCCCAATATTACACTCATCGAGACCTTTCATTTGAGTACCCACATCAATTTTTCATATATTTATATATATGTATGTATATATATTATATATATGTATATATGAAAAATATATCAAAATGCATGTGGGTACTCAAATGAAAGCTCTTGATGAGTGTAACATCGGGATGAGCTTATATCTTAAAAAATGTCAATAATAAAGAAATGACATTGTATCTTGTCAACTAATGACATTTTTAAAGATATAAGCTCATCCCGATGTTACACTCATCAAGATCTTTCATTTGAGTACCCACATCAATTTTTCATATATATTATATATATGTATATATGAAAAATATATCAAAAGTGCATGTGGGTACTCAAATTGAAAGCTTTTGATGAGTGTAACTTACAGGATGAGCTTTATTTTTAAAATTATCAACAATTAAACACTCATCAAGATCTTTCATTTGAGTACCCACATCAATTTTTCATATATATTATATATATGTATATATGAAAAATATATCAAAGTGCATGTGGGTACTCAAATGAAAGCTTTTGATGAGTGTAACTTCAGGATGAGCTTATATCTTTAAAAACGTCAATAGTTAAAAAAGTACAGTGCAATTCAACAAAAGTCTTATTTAATAAAGCGAAATTTTATTTATTTATAATTCACAAGTCACGGCAGTCACATAGTGACTGCAAGGTTGCTAGTAATAATAATAATAATAATAATAATAATAATAATAATAATAATAATAATAATAATAATAATAATAATTTAACTCTATATATTAATACTTCAACACAAAAATTTATCTTTAAAAATCGTTAATATTTTTTTCACTTTTTCAAATATTATTAAAGAAAATTAAAAAAATCTAATTTTCTTATTTCTATAACAAAAAAAAATATGTAAGATTATATATAATCCTATTAGATATCACTCTATAAGTAAATAATTTAATTTAAGTATAAAAATAAATTTATAAATCGAAACTACTAAAATTTTAATTATTTAAAATTAACAGATTTTCCGGATTTTGGGCATTTTTATATTTCGTTGGATTTTGCTATTTGACGAACGCCTGGAACAAGTCTGAAACACCCAAAGATGGTTACGGAGTTAATAATTTACAAGCAGCTATTGCATTTTCATTCTTCTCGATTTTCACATGGGTAAGGACAAATATTAAAAACTTATTATTATTATATAATATAATTACACATTATTAAATAATTAATTACAAACGATAACAGATAATTTAATAATGACGATGAGTATTGTTATTTTCAGGCAGGAAGTGCTTGGTTTGCATTCCAGCGATTCAAACAGGGAACAGACGCAGCATTTGCACCGAGCTACGAAGCGGATCCAGTCGGCGGTGCTGGATACACGAGTTATCCCGACGCGACGGATGCGGCTTACCAAGAGCCCGGGTATCCTCAACAGCAGCAGCAACAGCAGCAGCGAGGTATGGGCGAGTTCCAAGCACCTGCTTACTAAAGAGACCATTGATAGTTAAAAAAAAAAAAAGATTAAATAACAAAAAAAAAACGAAAAAAAAATAAATAAATAAATCACAGAAAATTATTTTGAAAAAATAAATAAAAATGCACAGAGGCACAGCCGTTCACTTACTTATCGAATGAGACTAAATTTATAAACGCGACCTTGTTTGCCTCTATGTTAAATAGTTAAACATTCTATATAAAAAAAAAAAATTTATTTAATAAATATCGTAGTACTCATTTTTTCATATCGATACTTGTAATTATTTTATTTACAATTATCTTAGCCGTAGGTTTATTATTTATTTATTTATAATTTATTATTACTTATATAGAATTGCTTTTGTATATTTACAATTAACTTTTTAAAGTAACAAGTCCTCGAGCTCCAATTTTTTTTTTTATTTAATATTTACAGCGTATACGGAAAAAATAAGATGACACTGGATATAATCCCAGATTATACTCAGTGATATCTGTGGTAAAAAAAAATTTCAGATAGTATTTAAAACAATATTTGACTATCTAAAATACATAATAGATATGATAATGCTAAGTGCGTAGGCGCTAGAAAAAAAATTCTGGAGATATCACTGGGTATAATCCAAGATTCTACTGATTATAATCCAAATTACAAATTATAAATTATAATCCAACTAATCTATAAATAAATTTTTTTTCACCACAGATATCACTGAGTATAATCTGGGATGATATTTAATGTCATCTTGTTCTTTCCGTGTACTTAATATTTAATATTTTATTATTAGCAAGAATCATTACTGTACATTTTAAAACGTGAGTTATTAACAGGCCTCATTGCGAGCATGTAGAAGATAAAAATAATTAAAAAAAATAAAAAATATCACTTGTGTTGATAAATTTTAATTGATGAAGATAACTATGGTGATAATTTATTAAGATTTCACTTTGAGTGTGTACGTCTGTAAGATTTTTACGCACATGCGTAATTAGATAAAAAATAGAGTAATATATGGACATAAATAAATATATATTTAAAGAGAAAAATAAATTAAAAAATAATGGTGAATCTTAATGAAGTTGTATAGTTTGTTGAGGTACATCTTTATCTTTATCATTAATTAATATCGTACTGTGCTTTGTTTCATTGTTTTTGGAATTTTGTCACGTAGTTATTGAGAAGTGATATCAATTGTCACGTGCAGCTAAATTTAGTTTTTATTATTAATATTATGATTGTTTTTAAAATGTGTATTATTAAAAGCTGTGCAGCGAAAAGTATTTAATTTTTTTTTAGTATGTAATGATATTATTATTATTATTATTATTATTATTATTATTATTATTATTATTGTAGGTGGATAAAAAATATTATTATAAAGATTAAAGAGCCTTCCGATGTAATAAAAGTTACCAACGAATGAAATAATTGTTCAGCTTGTTAAAATAATTGCGAAATTAATAATTGATCTTAATTGTAAACTACTCGTACTTCAATGTAATAAATATATCCTAAACTGACCATAAAACTGGAGAGAATAAAATATTTTCAAAATGAATAAATTTAAATAGAGGATTTTTTTTTTAGTTTCGCATTTTATTTTAATGAGCGATATAACATTACTCGTATGCAGACTTACGTACAAGTTACATGGCAATGCCGTAGTAAGATAAATCAGGTTTAAATTCACATAATTGAGTGTTAGAAAAAAGTTTAATCTAGACTATAAAGTTTACTTAATTAAATAATCAATTATTCTATGCATCCTGAGAGCGACTATTGATTATTTTTTTTTTCTTTCATCTCTGGTCACGTATGACCGTCGCCAAATTTTATTTTTTTTTTTTATTTAAATCTGTTAATATTAAATTGCGACTTTCATTCAAATAAGGATTATTGTTTTTTTTTTATATATTAAAAAAATTGAAAAATTTTTTTTAAATAAAAAAATTAATAAATTTTTTTTAATAAAAAAATTAATAATTTTTTAATAAAAAAAAATAATGTATTTTTTTTTAATAAAAAAAAATTAATATATTTTTTTTTTAAAAAACAATAATCCTTTTAACTGAATATTCAATCAAATTTGTTACCAACAAAACTAATTCTTGTACCTGGTTATACGTATCATTTGAATTTATGATTTATTCCTTGGATTTATGCATTGTAAAAATTAAGTACTTAAGTTGTGAAAAAATCGTTGTACTTGCTATTCTATTAATTAGAGCTATAACATGTGCCGTCGACCAATATAATATAATAATAATAATCATTGTATTATTGATTATTATTATTGAAGATTGTGTGAATAAGCAATAGACGGCACGTGTCAGCTCAATCAACTAAACCACGATTGTATGGATGATTATCATATAATCGATAGTATTATTATTATTTATTTTATTATTACAGTTATTATTATTATTATTGATATTATATTAACTTGCGCATTATCAGTAGAGCAACAAAACGAATGTAATAAATATATTAAAAAAATAATTATTTAAAAAACAAATGTAATTCACGGTGAAATTTAGCTGTAACATAAGCATACAAATAAATAAACTAAAATATATATGTAATTAATGATTATTAACGATGTTGCGGACACAGACTTTGAAATTACTCTGATGTTAATTCACCAGTTGGTTCATCGTTTTCTTCCCAAAAAAACTCGACTTAATTTATGTATATCTGTATACTTATTTTATGTTTTTACCAATACGTTGGGTATTATGAATAATAAAAATATATAAATATATAATCATGTAATTTTGGCTTATTTATTCAACTAATTGTTATTTATTTTATCAATTAAGATATGAAACTGGTTTTAAAATTCAGAATTTTAATAAAAATAATTACCTAGTTTTGGAATTTTTTGTTTAATCATTAAATTAGAACTAAAAAAATATATTTTGTAAATTGCACGCATACATTTTAAAGTTTTTTACAAATGAAATTTTAATTTTGTTTGCAATAATTTTTTTTTAATTTATAATTAACAACAATAAAATAAAATTAATTAAGCATATATTTGATAATTTTAATGATATTTTTGACAAATAAATTGGAACAAAAAAAAATGATAATTTTTTAGAACAAATTTATCTGCTAAAAAAAATCAAAAAATGATCAAGTTATTTTAATAAAAATTAAAAAATTGTCAAATGACTGTTAATTTTAATGTCATTATAAATTATGAAAATTAAGTGAGCCGACATCTACAATTTTTTTTATTGACAAAATTATTACAAAAAAATTAAAAAAAAAAAATAAAATCAATTTTTATATTATATTTATGATAAACTCATATGATACATATTGGGCGTGTTTGGCCGAAGTAAGTACTTACTAAATTTAGTAAGTCACTTACTATACTTACTAAATTTTCGGCCGGGACAGAAAATAAGTGCTAACGCAGTAAGCATGGCTTAATATAAGACGATTTTTCGTTTATTATTGATGTAAACAAAACAGACCGAAGCATATAGAATTGAATTTATATTGGTTATTCTATGCAATAAAATATTTAATTACTTTCTTTGATAGAAAGCTTTAAGAGGTACTTGAAAAGATCTTTTTCATAAGATTATATGAGATGTTACAAAACTATACTTTAAATTAATTTGAATTTTTTATACTTACACAGTGTAGTTCTGATTTTAATTAATTTTTTTATATCTTTTATAACAAATGTATAGATAATTCGATTAAGAGAGACTGCTTATTTAATTAGAAAAAATGACTGACGTTAAATATCTATTGTTATAGATAGTTAAGTATATTTGATAACAATTAATATAAGCAGTTAATACAAGCAAAGAATTGTTGATAGTATTATAACTTATGACAAGTTTCACAAATATCATTTAAAAGAAGAGATCTATGAGTATGACAAGACAGAAAAGAAATGTATATTTTTTAAATTTAATTACTCTAGTGACTGTTTGTTTCAATAATCGTTAAAATTTATATTACTTATTCTTAATATAAGAGAAATAGTAATCATTTGTTCATACTCAATCTATAGTTTAAATGTTATGTTGATTAAGGGGTTGTTTAACTTTTCTTCCAATTAAATATTTCTCATAAAATTGTCCATTTACAATTATTTACTTGAATTAAACTATATTAATAAATTTATCAGTGTCAATTATATTCAGACTATGAGATTATGTATGGAATATAACGTAAGTCGGTATTTTGTATTATATGCTAAGCCTGTAAGTCTGTCCCGGCCGAAAAGCGCTATAGTCAGCTTGTAAGATTTAAATTTTTTTATGCTAACTGGCTTACTAAGTTTAGTAAGTACTTACTTCGGCCAAACACGCCCATTAAGTAGATCATAGAATCATTATTGTCGAAGTTGTCGAAGACACCAGCACAGCAGACAGAAACTTCAAGACTATATGATTATAATATTTGGCCATTTTTCATATATATGAAGGTATCCCATATATCATATATAATATTATGTATATAATTATATGTATGATCATATATACCCAATTTATATATAAATATTTTTTTTCGGGATATGCATTACATAAACTTTTAAAATTTGAAAATTTCACTCTCTCACCACTTCTTCTTCAAATAACTTTTGAACGCGTCGAGATGTTCGATTTCTGTCAAATACATCTGAATGCTGAGGAATTAAGCTTCAATTTACATGTTTTTCTAAAGCAAAAAATATCATCTGTCCACATAAAACAGACTGAAAAGTATCGTAATACTTTTTCTTTCTTTATTGAACGTTGTTGACTCGATAGTAAGCTTTAAAAGCTAAAAACGTTATGAAAGGAAGTTTGATTATTAAAGGAAGTTTAAAATGAAATCTACTTCAATTTCGGATGCCGAATGGCTTTATTTTATCTGTATTTTGTTATTAAATACACAGTATTGAAAAAGTATTGAATTACATACTTTTTTATTACTTTTCAATACTTTTTTTTAATCAGGAGTGATATATGTCAGAATTTCCCGGTCACATAGTGACCAGAAGACTG